AATAACAATTAAAATGTAACTGTTAACTGTAGTAATTAAGAATTACACAATTAGAAATGTAGAACTATTAAGAAAGTAATTTTAAGAATGTCACCATTAAAAATGCAACTTTCAAGAATGGAACTGTTTAAAATGTAACTACTAAGAACGTCATCATTAAAGATGTTACTGTTAACTGTACCAATTGAGAATGTCACCATTGGATACGTAACCGTTAAAAATTATAGTATTAAGAATTTTATCATAAAAATGTACGTAACTGTTAACTGTAACAATTAAGTATGGTATTTGTAAAAAATAATGCTAAGAATGCAATTGTTAAAAATGTCACCATAAGTTGTGTAAATGTCAATAATGTTAATATTAAGAATGTGACTGTTAAAAATGTTACTTGTGGGAACGTAACCATAAAAATTAACCGTTATATATGCAAATAACAATTAAAATGTAACTGTTAACTGTAGCAATTAAGAATTACACAATTAGAAATGTAGAACTATTAAGAAAGTAATTTTAAGAATGTCACCATTAAAAATGCAACTTTCAAGAATGTAACTGTTTAAAATGTAACTACTAAGAACGTCATCATTAAAGATGTTACTGTTAACTGTACCAATTGAGAATGTCACCATTGGATACGTAACCGTTAAAAATTATAGTATTAAGAATTTTATCATAAAAATATACGTAACTGTTAACTGTAACAATTAAGATTGTTATCATTAAAGATGTAACTTATTACTGTTCCAATTAAAAAAGTTACTTTTAAGAACGTTTAATTGTAGAATATATTAGTTAAAAAGCAAGCATATTGGAATGACAGAATGTTGCCATTAGATATGCAAATGTCAAAAGTGTAATTGTTAAAAATGTAACTATTAAGAACGTCATCATTAAATATGTAACTGTTAACTGTAACAATTAAGAATGTCACCATTAGCTATTAAAAATGTCATCATTTAAGATGTAGGTAACTGATTACTGTAACAATTAAAAATGTTACTATTAGGATATATTGTTGAAAAGTAAGCAAGCATTCCTATGACTAATTAACAGACATCAAAATATAAAGACTCTTTCATAACATGATAAATTACTGCTAGTCTTATCATTTCTCGTTCCCGGCTAAACAAGTACAAATCAATAGCTTAAAGGTCCTGCTGCAGGAAAAGGGACCGCCGAATAAGGGTGAAATTTGATTCACTTCGCGAATCTTATGTTCACGTTATCATTAATTATAATTTTAATCTGCAAACGTCACGCGGAATCACGAACTTTCAATACGGATGGGATCCTATTTAAACATCATTTCGACAACAAGAACGGCGAGATGTTACTTTTATCATTATTTGTGGGCAATAATTTATTCAGTTGAGATATTTATCACGGTATTTTTATATTGTACTCGAACAATTATTAATGTTTATTATATGATAATTAGTACGTAGTTCATCTATTTATGGAATAGGCGCCTTTGAATTTAAATAAGGAAACTTTAACAAGGCATTACATGATTATAATCCATTTTATAAGGATTGCAATTATTTTAAGATTTAAAGCTTGTTAAAACTTATTTCAATATTTAAATTTAATGATATATTGAATACTAATTCTGATATTAATATACCGAAGAAATGTCCCAAGGAGTTTAATAAAACAAGGATTGCCTTTTGATACACCTCGCCGCTGTTTGTGCAAGCTCGCTAAGTATAAATAATGTTTATAGTGCTAGATTAAACAGTGGGTTGGGTTTTGTTTAGCGTTTAAATCCAGATAAATTGAAAATTAACTAACAAAACATTATGAACTGTTTAATGCAAATCGCGGGCTTAATTCAATCCGAAACCAGGGGAATTACAGGGAAAGCTGTCCGCGCAATTAACAGTGCGGAATTAACAAAACACCGGGCCCGATTTAAATGAGAATTAAGACCGGCAAAATTAATTAATCCACGTCAGGACATGGACGTCGGCAATTAGTTCTCGTCCTGCAGGACTGACTTTTCTTGCGCCAAAACGGCCGTCCTGCAAAATGCAAATGAATGAAATATTATGGGGTATCCTTTACAAAGAAAAATCAAATAAAAAAAGCTTTTAGAAAGTGCACTAAAAATAATTTAGGAAACAAAACCCATGACATAGTTAAAAATGTAAATGTTAAAAGGTTACCTACTATTGAAAGTGCAACTGTTAAGAATCTCATCATAAATCCAACTGTCGACTTTTAAAAATGTTACCATAAGAAAGTGTATGTTAAAAAAGTTTAATAATGTTTAATAACTGTTAAAAGTAACAGTGTTTAAATTATAAACTGTTAAAAATAACACTGTTTAAATTGTAAACTTTTAAAATGACAATATAAAAAAATTTCAATATTAAAAATGTTACAGTTATAAAGATTGTAACTGTCAAAATTAACTTATCAAAATGCCAGTTTCTCGTTATCAGTAAACTTGTTTACTTTTAAGAATGTAACTGCAACTTTTAAAACTTAACTGGTAAAAACGACAATTTTAAAAATGCTGCAGTGTTAAAATTAACACCGATAAAAGTGTTAATTTTTTATGTCGCTAATACACTGTTAAATTTAATTTAATTTTACTTTTAATAATTTAACTGTTAAAAATATAAATTTAAAAAATGCAACTCTTTCAAAATATAACTGATAAAATGACAATTAAAATGACATTTTTTATAAAGTTAAAATTGTAACTGTTAAAATATACACTGGCGTTAAGGTCAAAACTGTAACTGTTAAAATATAAATTTAAAAAATGTAATTTTCCAGAATATTACTAGAAAAATGTTAATTAAAATAATAATTTTTAGAAATTAAATTATTAAGATTGTTACTGTTAAAATTAACACTGGCGTAAATGTTAAAAATGTAACTGTTAAAAATATAAATTTCAAAAATGCGACTTTCTAGAATAGGTATTACTAGTAAAATGAAAATAACATTAATAATTCCTAAAAAGTCACTTAAAAAAAATTTAACAGTTAAAATTAAAATGTCAAAAATGTAACTGTTAAAAATATAAATTTAAAAAATGCCACTTTTTAGAATATTACTAGTAAAATGCTAATTAACATAATAATATTTGAGAAGTCACTTATAATGATTGTAACTGTTTAAACTAAGTGTCAAAATGGAACTTTTAAAAAGAACTATTAAAATTAACATTAACGAAAATGTCAAAAATGTAACTGTTAAAAATGGATGTTTTAAAAATGACACTTTTTAAATATTACTAGTAAAATGCTAATTAACATAAAATTTAAAAATTAACTTATAAAGATTGTAGCTGTTTAAATTAAGAATGACGTAAATGTCAAAAAAGTACATAACTGTTAAAAATTCGACTCAAAATTTTACCAGTATAATGCCAATTAAAATAATATTTGTAAGAAAGTCACTTTTAAAGTATGTATTCAAATTAACACTGACAAAAATGTAACTGTTAAAAATATAAATTTTAAAAATGCTCCTTTTTAGTTTTTGTTAATTAACATAATAATATTTAAAAAGTCACATACTGTTAAAATTAACACTGACGTAAATGTCAAAAATGTAACTGTTAAAAAGATACCTTTTAAAAATGCGACTTCAGAATATTACTGGTAAAATGCCATTTAAAAAAATCATTTTTAGGAAGTCAAATATAATGATTGTAACTGTTAAATGTAACCGTTAAAATAACAATTACGTAAAATGTAAATTTTAAGAAATTTTAAATTTTAAAAAATACTAATTTTAGGAATGTCTTTAAGAAAAAAATAACTGTTAAAAGTATACCTCTTAAATTAAAAATGTACCTTTTATAAATGGAACCCACATATACAATACAATAAAACTATTTTTTCTACTCCCACCTTTAAAACGCCCTTTATCGTACATGTTTCCATGACACTAAGTGACCTTTAAAATACACATTGACAAGTTGTGGCTTTACGGCGCTTTAGTTAGCAACAGGTTTTTAGTCACGGGCTGAAGTTAGTTTTAAGTTAGTTGACAGTTGTCAAATGTCATACAATCGTTAAAATAAAGTGCCTTTCTTGTAAAATAATACTAAATGTGAAAATTATTTTATTATCTCAATACAAAAATACAAAAATATTAAATAGTTTCTCAGCGCCAATTTTTGAAAAGTTTATATGAACATTGTACTGACCTTTTAATTTTGCCGACAGTAAACTATAACTTAAATTCGGGCACGGGCTCTACTGTAAAGTCCTCATAAAACATTTCCTTTACTTTCACTGTGAAAAACTGTCAATTTTCAAGATACATTTCGATTTATAACCTTTATAATTGTGTTTATAAAATGTAAAAATCTGACATTTGACAGTTTCCACTGTTGTTTCATAGATGGTGCTCTATACAAATTTTTGATTTAAATCATTTTAAGATAATAATAAGTATTTGTCGTAGAAAAAGTATAGTATGCACCTCGTTTATAAACTTTTCTATACACTCATTAACTTAAGCACTCGCTCGCAAGCTCGCTCGTGCCTAAATTAAATTAAATTGGCGTTTATAAAACTTGATACATAATATACTATTAAAACAGAAATTAACTAATAAAAATGTGACTCATTCGCAAAACGATTTTAAATCGTATCTGCAATATGACGTTTGTATACACTATAGTGTTAATTAATCGAACATTCGAATACTGCGATATAAATCACAACTGCGTAATTCCCTGAAATTTGTATCTACGGCATTTGTCAAAATGTCACGCGATTATGTGGGCTTTTCGGCGATAGCGCCCGTGCGAAAGCTTACCCGGCCCATGATTTGTCGCGGACGGAATCGCATCCGACATCGACACTAGGCCGTTTTGCGACACGTCCGTACGGCGGAATAATCGTTTGTCACGCGTTTACGCGGCGGCGGGTGCCGTAATTTTTACTACGAATCCCCACCGTGAGCCAGGGTCATCAATTTCGATTAAGAGTCAAAGGGTTAAAGGTTTTTTGTTACATTTTTTCACGTACCTTTCTAAGTGTTTGACGATGTCTTCATAAGCTGCTCTGCAGTTCTCCCAGATGCCAGATCTGTAAAAAACAATTAGAAATATAATTTATAGCAATATATGTATGTAGCTATTCAAACTGTTAAATGTAACTGCGTTAAGAATAACAATTTTAGGAAGTCAAATTAAAATATTAAATGTTAAAAAGTAAGTCAATATTTTTAAAATTAACCATTAACTATTAAGAATGTCATTAATAAACTGTAAAAAGTATAATGTTATTATTAGGAATGTAACTGTCAACTTTTAAGAATCTTAATGTTAAGAATAGCAGTATTAATACTTAATACTTAATTAAGTATGTAAACTGCAGCTATCATTTTTACGAATGTAAATGTTAAGATTCTAACTGTAAAAATTGTAGGAGTTAAGAAGTTGGGAAATTAAAAGTTTCAATATTAATAAAGTAACTGTCAAAATGCAACTGTTAAAACTGTAATTTTTAAGAATGTAACCAAAAAAGTTGAAACTATTTATACTGTAAATGTTGAGAATAACTATATAGAATGCAACCATTAATTTTTAAGAGACACTATATTATTAATGTAACTGTTAAATTTTTTAAAATAATTAATAGTAATTTTTAATAATATAACCGTTAAGAATTTCAATATTAAGAATGTACCTAGCTGTTAGGTATGTTGCTTTTAAAATGCAAATGTTAAAAAAAAAAATTAATATGAACATTAAGAATTTAACTGTTAAAATTGTCATTTTTAATAATGAAACCGTTAAGAATATCAATTATAACAATGTAACTGTCAAAATGCAACTTAACACTATTATTTTAAAAATTTAACATTTATAATGTTAATTTAAGTTAATTAAATTAAGTATGATTTTTAATTATGTAACCGTTAAGAATGTAATTTTAAAAATTTTATTAATAAGAATAATTTTTAGGGATGTTACTGTGAATGTTAAGAAATACAATAACTGACAAAATGCAACTGTCATTAAGAATATTAATGTTAAATTATTTAATTATTGTAAAAGTAAATGTTAAGAATGAGAATATTAAAAATTTAACTGTCAAAATGCAGCTGTCATTTTTTAGTACATATAAGAATTTTAATATTTAGAATGTAACTTTCAAAATTCCAACACTGTCATTTTTAAGAATGTAACCAACAACAAAATGTTTATAATGTGAATGTTAAGAATGGCTATATAAAGAATGCAACTGTTAAAAATGTAATTTTTAAGAATTTTATGTTAAGAATGTTAAAATTGTCTTGTTTAATAATGTACTTAACCTCAACCTTAACTTCTATGGATGTGAAATCTGCTTCTAAAACGCATTTCCTTAACAATTTGAATACATATTTGCGATACAAACTACTCCTATCTCTAGAACTCTTTGAAAACTTGAAGGTGTACGACTAAAATCCCTGCTAAATCTTCCGTGTCTAAGCTCGGAAACACTGGCTTTACGTTCAAAGATCTGCTCTGGAAGTCTGCGAAAGTAGTTAAACTTCCACGGAATATTTAAACGGGATTACTACCGGAGAGAAAAGTTCATATCTGCGACGACGAAAGGGAATACATATTCCTCTGATTTATTATTTAGGCGAAGAGAGATAAGTCGCAGAACACGACTCACTATTACTTAATCTCTCAATAAAAATAACAAACTCGGGGAAATTGGATCGTTATTAGAGGCCAAACGAAGTCAAGTAATCGTCTTAAGGCGGCAAGAATCCTTACGACTTAGGTCTGTCACCCCCTCTGAAAAAATTACGGCCCTTGTTTACACTATTTGCTTTCCCAATTCCCGCTTATACTGTTCCAAATCTGACAGTTATATCTGATGGTGACATTCTTATGATTACGTTCTTAATAAATAGTAACATTTTTAACAGTTACAGAATTTTCAAATACTGCATTACTTTATTTGAATTAAATTATCAACAGCTATTATATATGCCAAAATATGTTCTTCCCATAATGAAAAGCAAATAATAAGCAAAGGCCTGATTGGTCTGAAGGTGAGCAAAGATATTAATCTCGAAGTATCGATCTGCGATCTGCGAACGAAGAGAAAACAAATAGAGGCTCGGGTAAATTAATATTTGTATTCAATTTGTTGTTTGCCGTATTCTTAGTGTATAAGTGAGCAAGAGGAGTAAAGAGCGAGATAACGCTACGACGGTCTACCTGGTGAATTAATCATGGCGCTCTTCTTACGACATGGACACGCATTCGGCCTGCTCGATTTGCATTTTAATTACCAGGCAGAGCGTTGAAATGATAATGATGACTTGGAACAACCGTGTAAACAATCTTCGACGAGAGGCAATCACCAACAATCTACATATATTCGCGATAATACACACTGCACTGCTAGTTCTTCTAAGTCTTAGCCTAGGAAAAACGCAGCCGCAAATACCTATGTCGCTTTTAAGTTGATTTCTCATCTGTGACATTATATAAAAAAATGTTTTTTATAAATTAAGTTTTAATTTTAATAATAAATATTCTTATTACAAATCCATTTTTAAGGTAACTGTCAAAAATGCAACTGTAAATTTTAAGACTGTAGCTATCAAAGTGTAACAATCATTTTTAACAGTAACAGTTACATTGACTGTTAAAATTGTAATTTTTAATAATCCAACTATCAACATGCAACTGAGAATATAACCAACAACATTCTAAATGTTAATATAAATAATGCAACCGTTAAAACTATCATTTTTAATGTTACCGTTAAGAATTTCAATATCAAAAATGTAACTGTTAAAAACAAATTTTTAGCGGTTGCTTTCAAAATGCAACTGTCAAAAATATGGACATTAGGAATGTAAATGTTTTTAAAGACAATATAACTGTCAAACTACAGCTGTCATTTTAATAATGTAACCGTAATATGAATGTAATTGTCAAAATGCCTCTGTTAACACTGTCGTTTTTAAGAATGTAACCAACAACATTCAGAATGCTAATATCAATAATGTAAATGTAAATAATGGCTATACTGTCAAAACTATCATTTTTAATAATGTAACCTTTAAAAATGTAATTTTTTAAGAATTTCAATATTAAGAATGTTAAAACCATTTTTTTTTAAATATGGAACTGTTAAAAATATACACGTAAATGTTAAGAATGACCATATTGAGAAAGTAACTGTAAATTGCCATGTTTATTAATGAAACCTTTAAAAATGACAATGTAACCCTTAAAATTCAGCAGTCATTTTTAAGAATGAAAATTTAAGAATGTAACTGTCAAAATATCACAGTTAACACTATCATTTTTAAAAATGTAACCAACAACATTCAGAATGTTAAGAATGATTATATAAAGAATGCAACTGTTTGCATTGTTTGTATTTTTAATAATGTAACCGTTATAAATGTTATATTTAAGAATTTTAATGTTAAGAATGTAACTTTAAAAGATAATGTACTTTTGTAATTCTTATAATGCAATTCTTAAGAATGTATAGATTGAAAATGATAATATTAAAAATGTAACTGTCAAAATACAACTCTAAAACTGTCACTTTCAAGAATGTAGGTAACCAACAGTATTCATAACACTATCATTTTTAAAAATGGAATATTGTAACAGATGTAACTGTCTATATGCAGCTGTCATTTTTAAGAATGTTAATGTTAAGAATGACTATATTGAGAATGTAACTGTCAAAATCGACATTTTTAATAAAGTAACTGTTAAAAGTTTTAATATTCAGAATGTAGGTAACCGTTAAAAGTTTAAATTTTAAAGAATTTTGAAGAATGGCAGAATTTTTAAGAATTTTAATATTTGGCATATAACTATTAAAAATGTCAATTTAAACCGTTAAAATGCAATTGTAAAATTGTCAATATTAAGAATGTAACTGTTAAAAACAAAATTGGTAGGGATGTTACTTTTAAAATGCAACTGTTAAAATATAGAGATTAAGAATTACAATATTATAGATAGTCAAACTGCTTATTAACAGCATTAAAAATACTTTTATTAATTAAGACTGTAACACTTAAAAATGTTCATGTTACTCGTTAAAACTGTTAATAGAAGAATGCAATCGTTAAGATGATAAATATTAGGAATGTAACTGTACCGCAAATACCATTTATGTAAATCCTAATAAATGTAAGACATCAAAGGATGTAAGTGTTGAAATGCAACATTGTCAAATGTTATTTTTAGGAATGTTACCAATAGAAGAAGAAGAATGTAACCGTTAAGAATGTAATTGTTAAAAATGCCACTATTAAAACTGATAAGATTGTCAATATTAAAAATGTAACTAAAATTTTGAGGGATGTTACTTTAAAAATAAAGACATGCATTAAGAACGTTAATAATGTAAAAATGTTACTATTTTCAATGTAAGTATTAAGAATGACAACATTAAGAACGTAACTGTTAAAAATGCATCTATTATACTGAGAATTTTAAGAATGTTACCGTTTAGAATGCAATTGTTAAGAATGTCAGTTTTAAGAATGTAACTGTTAAATAATGAAATTGTTAAGGACTTTTATGGTGGAGGGGTTAAGACTTTGTGACATCGTGTGCTATAATAATGCTATTATCCTCTACTATACTAATACTAAACCGTTAAATGTACAACTTTAAAGTAACTGTTAACTTTTCTTACCTTGCTAGGGCCTCCATGGTGGGCATGCCCTGGTTCTTGATGACGGAACCGTCGTGCCTGCTGAGGTTGTGCGGCATTGCGGGCGACAAAAGGGCGGAATGAGCCGCCGCCGGGTGCGGCAACTGCATGAACTGCATGTGATTGAGATGTGGCGGGTGATTGTAGCCGTTGGCTAGCAGCGGAGATTTTTCCAACCGAGACATATCTAAAGCAAACAAACAAATAGACGAAATTATTAACTGTGTCGTGCTAATATTTAATTAATTAAATTCCACGGTTTTGTTAAACAATGGAAATGTTGTGTAAATTAATTTGCAATCGTTGTACAAATACAAGCATTCTTTATGGCTCCATGAAATGTTTTCATAAATAAAATAATATATAGCACCCACAATATGCGTATATGTGCTTTAAACAAAATTATTATAACTGTTAATAATGTAACAACTCATGTTAAAAATGTAACCATTAAAAATTTAAAGAACGTTAATATTATTATTAAGACTATAACTGTTATAATTGTTAAAAATGCAGCAATATGCGTATATGTACTTTAAAAAAAATATTATAACTGTTACTAATGTAACAATTCATGTTAAAAATGCAGCAATATGCGTATATGTACTTTAAACAAAATTATTATAACTGTTATGAATGTAACAACTCATGTTAAAAATGTAACGATTAAAAATTTAACTTTAAAGAACGTTAATATTACTTGACTATAATTGTTAAAAATGCAACGATTTGCGTATATGTACTTTAAACAAAATTATTATAACTGTTAATAATGTAACAACTCATGTTAAAAATGTAACCATTAAAATTTTAACTTTAAAGAACGTTAATATTACTTGACTATAATTGTTAGATATGCAACAATATGCGTATATGTACTTTAAACAAAATTATTATAACTGTTAATAATGTAACAACTCATGTTAAAAATGTAACCATTAAAAATTTAACTTTAAAGAACGTTAATATTACATAAGACTATAATTGTTAAAAATGCAACAATATGCGTATATGTACTTCAAACAAAATTATTATAACTGTTAAAAATGTAACCATTAAAAATTTAAAGAACGTTTATATTATTATTAAGACTATAACTGTTATAATTGTTAAAAATGCAACAAGATGCGTATATGTACTTTAAACAAAATATTATAACTGTTAATAATGTAACAGCTCATGTTAAAAATGCAACTGTTAAGAGTAATTAGTAAATGTAATTTTTACAGCAACTTTAGAAAGACTGTTGTTACAAAATTGGCTTCATGTTAACAATGTATTAGAGAACAAAATAAACCCAATAAAATCAAAGAAAAGCGAAATTATATTTACACTGGTTTACGATAAACAATAAAAGCCATGTAATACGTTTAATTACATGTTCTATGAGTCGAGAAAAAGTTGTGGATCGCAAGACGGCAGACCGGCTCGGTTAATTGGTGTCGGAGAAATAAGTCGCCGGCTCGTAAAAATAAAACTTTTAGGATAGTGTTTATTATTCGGGCCGCTTAAACGTACTGCTCGAGCTTGCTCTAACGTTTGATCTTGGGGCAACAGTTTATCCAATTAAATTGTTAGAGAAATGTTATCAAATAAACGAGTTTCTTGTTTATAGCAGTTAAAGCTTTAAATAAACATCGCACATTCATTAATTACCTTAATAATTTTTTAACATTATCTCTTACATCTATTGTGTACACTGAGAAAAATAAACCCATTGACTTTTTTCTTGTTATCCCTTAAATCAGATTTAATTTAATAAGATAATTATTACAAAAAAAGTGATATTTTTATAGAAAAATTATTGCAGAATCGTATACCGAAGAAAAATCGAACAAAATTGATTTTTTTTTATTACAGCGCCATCTATTACAAATATGAAATAAGTTTTAGACAAAATCTACCTATTTTTAGTCGAATGATCCGAGTCTGCAATAAAAAATAGAATGTTCCATTGTAAATTTTAAAGTTACCCCCTGTTCCCCCTATAAGGAGGAGAGTATGAGGACCAATTTTAGTCCTGATTGATTTTCCTCCTCGAATAATTTAATTTTTATTTTAAACAGTTTCAAGTTTCAAGTTAAATGTATATGCTTCTGAAAAAATTATTGTAATAATTGTACATTTTTCAATATTCATAATACATTTTTTGTGGCTTTTGATAATCATAATAAAATACTATTCTATTATAATAAGTCTCAAAATTCTAGAATAATAATTGTAAAATTTACAATTACTTTTTCCAGAGCATTAAAACGGCAAACAATTAATCAATTTAATTTTACATTTAATTGCCAAAGTATTGTATATTGTAGAATCGTAAACAAGTAAATAAATATTTTAAAATAAGATTTAAAAAATGTTACTTTGACAAATTTGATATGTTATTTTAAATAAACTTTTTTTGTTTTAACTTTAATTCAATATAGTAAAATGCTTAATTCAATATGCAAAACTTAACTCTTTCTTTATTAAATATGTATAAACATGTTAAGTTTAGTTTTTGTTTGAATCAACACTTTCTTTTTCTCAGTGTAATATTCTTTATGTGTTTTGAGTTTCCCTCGAGGGGCGATTCAATAATGCTTGTCCGTAAGAGAGGTAGTATTTGCTTTTTATGATTTCGATGGTTTTGGGCATTTGGCCGATACGTACGCGAAGCCCCATAAACCTTTGAGATATAATAACACAAAAAAATAGTGCACGCAGAATTGTAGCAATTTCGTCATGCCTCATTTGACGGATTGAATTTCACAAAGGTTATATTTCCAATTGGCTTTCTTTTTTATGTTGCGAAGAAAAAGGATGTTCGCCAAAAATTTTATAAGGATTCTTTGGAAGAATATTTCATACAAACAACTAAGGGTTTTATTTTCATCAGGCGGGTATTGTGATGGGCTTTGTAAGGTAATTAATATTTGCATCTAGGATTGTAAATTTTAATCAGCGCCACTCAACAGGTTTTACAATGCATAAAATAATACTAATATGAATTCCAAATAAGAAACACTTAAAATATCCTTTGTTGGATTTCATTAGCAAATTTACGACTGCAAGTTCTTTCTACAAACAAATTTTACCAAACTAAATATTCAAATCTTAAAAGTATAACTTTTAGTGGGTACAGATAAACATCTTAAAGAATTAATCCACATTATCATATCAGGATTTGTCTGTCTGACACTAACAACTGCATTTCAATGAAGAATTTGTATAAGTTATTAGTTAGAATTAGTATGTAAAAATAAATTAAAAACCTGTAAAATTAATTACTAAAAGTTATTTATGTATATACACACCATACAACTTCTAACGAATCGTTAATTAAATTTCTTTTTACTAATCAAGAATTATTGTTTTTTTTATTTAGCATTCCATTTTAACATTTGCAGTTTTCTAAAAAATCTATGTTAGTCTATTTATCCCTTGAAAATGGACTAACAATCGATATAAAAGCAGTTTTTCACAGTAAAATAATGGAGAATAATAATAATAAAATTTGTAGTTTTGTACCGCAACACTCAGAAATTTTTTAAATAAATATAACAAAAAAGTAGTTTGTCTTAATAAAGTAAAGATCCCTATTCGTCCAACAATTGCTTTTGTTACGGCAAAAATATCATTTTTATAAAAATTATTTATCTACAAACGCTGCTTTCAGTAATAGCATTTGCATTAATTATAAAGTAAATTTACGTTATGTTTATAAAAATAACACTCTTCCAGATGCAGAAACGCATTGATAAATATAGTTATTATTATTTGTCCAAAAAACAGTTCTATACCGTTTACAAAAACGTTTTGTAGTATTAATGAAACCCTAATGGTATTATTCATAGAAATTTTGTAAATTTTACAAATCCCTTTTCGTTTAAAATAAAACTTTTTTTATAATATTAAGAAAATTTATGTAAATTTAACAACTAATTAATTTTTAATTCAATAAACTATTTTCATTGTAACAATGGTCACATTTTCAACCTAATGTTGGGTGTTGGGTAGTTTTTTTTAAATAATTGCAAGGCAATAAAACAAATTATTTATTACTTGTAACAAAAAAATGACTCATATTATATGATGTAAAAAAAATATGAACTAACTTTTTAAACTACAAGTCTGCTTCGTTTATAGAATATACCTTTTAGAAAACGTAGAAATTTTAATTTTCTTAATGATCACTCGCACAAGTGAAATTAATAAGATTATAACACAGACTGTTGATTATAAAGTTATGTTCACCAAGGAGAGCGCTGGCCCTTCCCCCCTCTTTGTTACCATTGAAAAACAATAGTAAATATTAAAAAAGTCTTTTTATAGGAATAAAATATTTTTGTTATTGTTCTTAACGTAAAACTGAAACTGAAATAAAATAAATTTAAATTACGATAGTAATTTAAAAAAGACAAATATGCCATGGTAAAATGAACAAATTTTAATATATAACAACTGCGCATTAATTTATGTAAGTGCAATTCACACACAACTATAGATTTAACAAAACATTTTAAGTTCGACAAAGATTTAGTATAATAGTATATTACACTACAAGGGCAGAAAGTGTGAGATTCCTGCACTGCGCGCCATGATGCCCGAGGCGAAGCCGAGGGCATCATGGCGCGCAGTTCAGGGCTCTCACACTTTCTGCCCGTGTAGTGTATACTATTTTTCTTGCTACCCCGCAGAAAATACGGGAAAAAATTAAATGTATATAAATAAACTTGTGTCAAAATTAAGATCTGACGTTTAATTTAATTCTGACGTTTACATTCAAAATCAATCAAACTGTAGCGTTGTCATGGTAATTCAGCGGTGCCAATACAGTAAAAATAAAAGGTTGTATTTTAATTAACAAATTACTACTTTATAACAAATAAAAGTACCATTAAACACTTAAAACAACATAAAAAGTAAAAAAGTAAAAACATAAATTGTTTATTTGTTGTTATAATTGCAAAATTATGGTTTAAAACTGTCATATTTTTGTGTTTCTCATGTTGGCAGTACGAAATTTGAATGTTAAGCATGCGACTAAAAAATTTTTACTCCCGCTATTAGAGTGTGCGCGTATAGCTTGACCAATGCAAGAAACGTAAACTTTCTGCCGTGAAATCGGGGACGAAACAACGTATTTTGAGTCGAGGTAGTAAGAAAACAAGTATTTCTTACTGCCATGACAATATGATAATT